ACGTTTATTGGATCTTTAATGGCGCCAATAAAGCTTGTCAACAGGAAAGTTTGTAATCTGAAGATAGTTTACGGTATCAACTATAATATATATAGACCAATTTTTCTCTCTTTTAACGCCCTTCTATTAGGCCTTACCATCGTGTTCTACATACTGACCTTAGCTGGAGTCCGTCGTCGCTACAGGAAGACAGCTCCGGTCATTACCAACGAAATTTCTTCACAAACTTCACAAAATCGCTCCGTATCTGTAGTGGTAAATCAAAACGACAAAATGGAAAAATTAAGAATCAAGAGATTTGCGCACTCCATGAAACTTGTGAGCATCATTTTAGCCGCTTTGATTATCTTTTCAGGGCCTATAGTGTTCATCAACTTGTCAAGAGAGCGGTCTCACATCATTATTATAAGTACACTGTGTGGTACAACTCTCAATTCCCTGATCAATCCAATCATTTACAGCTTGCAAATTTCGGAACTGAGTCAAGAAATTCGGAAGATTTTCCGATTTGCTTAATATTTCAGTAAAGATGTGAGATCGAAGCTTAATTCATAAACTCCCCCTTTCCAATTATATATGTGTCATTTTGGTTATGGTAACTTTCCGGAACTGTATGATTATTGCTTAATCTCACATAATTTGGTTTAAGTAAAATTCAAATGTGTTAACCTCATCTAAACTTGTCTCTTTTTGTCACAACACCTTGAAACATGACGTAGTATTTAGATCTATCCCAGTAATTACAGAATTTTAAACAACGAACTCTCACACCTAGGCGCTGAAGATTATTGAGCCGTTGACATAGCTTTTTATTTCTCGAAAAGGAGATATAGTTTACAGCTAATAAGAAGATTATAGTTTACTGTAGAACGGCGTACTCATCTGAACATCAGTTTCCTCATTTTATTCACCAAAATTTGAATTGACGGGTAATCTGTCTCTGTGCTACATCTTCGTTTTGAAGTTGGTTATAAAAATGATGAACTCTGTGAATACAGATCAACATTACTTTAATACATGTTCATAATTTAATAATTCCTTTTCCCTTTGAATTTTCGGTTCATATTTTGAAATCAATTTTTTATCAAAAGATCTTGCAGATTATAGTCAGGTACAAATATGCATATGAATGACTGTTCGACGTTTGATTTACATTTGTAACCATTAGTAAATATGGACGCACGGAATCTGTGAAAAAAAATCTAAAGGAGATTTAAAAAATAAAATGTTTTGTGCCGTTTTATACATGTATTCTTATCAAAAAATGGTTAATTCGTACTTGTGTTTTCCTTTTTATACGACTTAAATTTATTTTATTTTCATCTTACTAGAGACATTAATCGAGAACTAACAGCTTCACTATGTAACAGAAGAATGGCCAGTTTCCACCTCTTTATTAATCAATATTCTTATATCATCTGTATGGTGTTTAATTCTCAACAAAAAGCGTGGCATCATTTCTCGAAAGGGATATTAGCAGTCAATCAACCAGGAACAAACGAACATTTTTTCTTAACTGGGTTGGTTCGTAAGAGCATTTTTTAAAAATTAAAATCCAATTCTAAAAAAGAAACAGGCTTTAATTGGGAAATAATTTGATATTTCAGAATTTTCAACAATTCCACTTGAAGCCAGCATTTCCCAGATTCTTTGGTTGTACATATTTGCAAATATTACCTGCCGTCGAGTGTTTTGATGGCATATCTCTTTCCTATGGCTTGTCAGGCAATATGTTTCTATGTTTTATGATAATTTAGATTATGGGTTATTCTCTTAACCTGATCATTAGACAGGACTCGCAAAGGATGTGACAGGGCGACAGGGAGATGCTAACTACTGCGAAACATATGATCCTACCTCTGATTTTTTCAGGGGTTCGTGATTTTGCCCTGTTCACAATTGGAGTTCTTCATTGGATTTAATTTATTACCTTTCTTCCCGTATTTTTTTTTATTTTAACTTAAATCTTTTCATAAAAGTCCAAAAATACATTTTCTTCAAGCATGCTAGTAGAGCTCTCGATCCGTGATCGGACGATGACAGGGTCAAGGTTCAGCTTCGACAGACCGAAGTCAAAAAAAGTAGCAACTGTTTCTTTGCCTAGCGAACGTACTTTTGAATTGAAAGTTACCGGGTCTTTACGAGTCTTCCAACACGTCACCGTTTTCCAGTGAAGGGCTGAAAATTTAGTTTTTAACATGGCATTTAGAGCCATTCATCATTGAGTAATTTTTATCGTACCCCGGCCTGCCGTGACATGGGACCTATAGGTTTTTAAGGTCTCATTTGAAGCTTGTCAGTGATCAGTTGTAATCTATTTTTTCAGTCGCGACCGGGGTTCGAGCCTATTCAGTAGCAAGAACTAAATCTCACCATGCGTATAACGTCATGTAAAATGCTTCTGCCCTAAATGCAAATATTTCAAGCAGTCTACGTATAATACATGTACTTTTTACATTCCTTCCTCTAAAATTTCAAATGGCATGGTAAGAATACGAATACAAAGAGAAATATTTGGCTTTGGTATCTTGTATGAAATATATGGAGATCACGAACAGTATCCAAGCTCAAAAGTCCATTAAACAATACAAAATTGAAACAGAGCAAACCCAAACCTCAGAAAAAAGATCAGAGGTGGGATCAGGTGCCATGGAGGAGTGAGCATCCCCTTCCAACCGGTCACATCCGCCTTGTGCTCCTTGTCATTATCATGAAATAATGGAAAAATCCGTCAACAATTTTAGTGTGTATATAATGGTCTAACAATAAGTATGAAAAACACCAGTCAGCATTTGACTTAATGATAAATTGTGTTTGTCGACAAGGTCATTCTATCGACCAAAGAGCGTAGGAAGAGATGACTTTCAACGAGACTGTCGATACTCTTATTTCCGCAACTTTTTGTTCCTATTTACCTCTTTTTAGAAATTTTTCATACGTAGAGAATGCTCTCGCGTATCGAATCAACTGAGAGACATAAACTCCGTATCTGGGTGATGAGGGTGTATTGCTGTAATTTGTAAGAAAGTTATGGATTGAAAAGTTAAAGTCATCACGTTTATCATAAAGCTTGGTTGTTAGATTACCATTAACGTCTTTTTCAAGTAAATTATCTAAATATGAAGTAGATGTGTCAGACTCTGAGGTATCTTTTATTTCAAGCTCACCGGGATATATCGTATCGATATAGGAATGGAAACAACCATTGTTAATTGACAATACGCCGTCGATATATCTTTATATTATACTTTCATGTAAATTAGTTGAATCTGATTGGTCGAGAAACATTTGTTAAAAAACACTACTACCCGCTGAATAATAAAGCCTCGCCCTCCAGCGTAGCAACAGTCAACATTGCTTGACGACGGGTGGTATTCCAAAACATAGCGACTGCGCAGAATTTATGCGCGAACGGTTCACTGTTATATGTATTTGTATGAAACATTCAGTATAATATAATAAATATAGCATGTAGTTGAGTGTAACATTGAAAATTTTCACCCCTCGAAAACCATTGTCAACCTCGGCTGCGCCTCGGTTGACAATGGTTTTCGAGGGGTGAAAATTTTCAATGTTACACTCAACTACATGCAATATTTATATAATGTCGAGTTAAAGGCCACAGCAAATATTTTCTTCTTTTCACGAATGAGATTTTGGACAAATTCTGCTTCACATGAGTACAAAGTAGGTCTGCTTAAAACGGGGCGCAATTGGTGTTAATGGGAATTCCGTTAGTTTGTTGGAAGACCTGGTCTCCGAAAATCACATCTCATTAGATATTGTAAATCAGAAACTCAAGCATATTTTTAATACCAACTTCAGAGTACTTGTGTGTACAATCAGAATGTTTTTAAGAAAATAATTTTGCCAATATACTAAAGAATTGCGCAAGAAATTTTAAAGGCAATATGTGAACCATTTATCCTTCTGTTTTCACAAACGCGAAGGTGTTCAAGAATTAGAAAGGCTACGTAAACAATATCTTATGGTTCCAACCGAAAAGGCTTGTAACAACATCTATATTCATTTGGATCGATTTCCCCAGTGAGCTTGAAATAAAAGACACTACAGTCTGTCACGTCTACTTCATATTTGAATGTTTTACTGACTATAGACGATAAGAGTCAAGTAAAAACTAAACTGTATAACAAACAAGATTATTTCAACCTTTTCATTGTCATTTAGTAATATCTCAATCTCTTGCACATAGTGTTTACATCTCTCAGCCTATTCGATTCGATACTGGGGAGCTTATCTGGAGTACAATCAATTTTTTAAATCCAGGCAGGCTTCTGACAGATAAGTTGATGTTACAGGAATTACAATCACGTTCAAAGTCAGAATTCGTAAGTTCTATGGTCGTTATAATGATTTTGTAAGGAAATTTAACCTAGATACCCATTGATCTTGTCTCATATACTGATTGTCAGGGTTCGCTTTTATACCACATCTGACTGCTGAATGCTCTACCTGGCTCTACGGCGAGTGTGACCGTTCAACAGAGGATGCTTAGTCCACCTGATCCCACCTCTAGAATTCCCAGAGCTCCGTGATTATGACCTTTTCACATATTTGTATTGCTTAAAGATTATTTTTGATCATTTACGATCGATCTCTCGTTTGTTAAACGAGCTAAGTACGTATTTTAAATATTTCTATGACATGTTGATACAAGGGAAATCAAGTAAAAAATAAAATAAAGGAATAAAAAAGAAAAAAAGTTTAGAGAATTATAGCTTGTATGAATTAAACAAAGCAAATTTATATGCATTCAGGTAACAAATTAGAGCAGATCAAATCAAACATTTTGTTTTGATATTCCAAAGAGTAAAAATTTGTTAGATAATTTAGTTGTATAGTTATCATAAGATAAATAAGAATTGTTTATGTTTGTGCCAATCAGTGCCTTCTATGGCAAGAATAAAACGGATTTGATTATCCGCCCTTTGTTGATATATTCTCTAAAAATAGATCAAATGCTCTTTTGTTGAAGAAGCGAAATAGGCTTACGTGTCATGTAAACAGACACTAAATAAATAAACAGCTGTTAAATATGAATTTATGGAGCTCTGAAACTCTGAATTAGACATTATCACTGGTAAGTATAAAGAATAATGAGCGATGGAAGGAAATCTTCGTAAGATCGTAGATGGTAATCTACTTTCGTTTTAACAGGGGTCCTTGTCGACATACGAAAAACAAAGTATATACAAAAATACATAACACGAATCGATTTACACTATTTTAATGTTTGATTGTTAAGGTACGTGATGTTTTATATAGGGCTTGTGTAAAAATGTCTAAAACTGTTCAAAGAATAACAGATATTTAAAACATGAAATGTTGAAGTAAACAAAAAACCTACAAGATTCCTCTTATTTCATTATGCGTAATGTTAGCAATCAAATAAATGCACACAATTTATCATTTTTGAAATTAATTTGCTTCATAAGATTATTAACTGAATGAAGTAAAAAAGTTTGTCAACATGTGTTGCCTTTTAAAAAATTTAGCAAGGTTAATTTTCTTAGCATTTGTTGCACATCATATTCCACAGACAACAATGCAAACAAACAGATAGACAGACAAACAGACAAATAAACCAACGTTTACCATAGAATCATAGACCTTTGAACCATTCGAGTGTGTTGCAACAAATTTTTGCCAATCAGTATAGCAATCTTTAATTTTGTAATTTATTTATTGCTCAGGATAAACATCCTATGGCATGCTCCATTTAAATGCTCCATTTAAATTCTATTTTCGATGATTATGTATATTTATAGGAAAATTAAGAATCAAAGTTTTATTGTAATGTAGCACTATATAAAATACTAAATGAAAGAAACTTAGTATTAAATTATAGTATCACATTTTTACTGTAGTAAATCAAGAAAACATAGTTTCATATTTCACGTTGCCAAAAAGAAAGTTATCAAAGAACTGTATTTAAGCTCTTTAGGTAAACATGGTGAATAAATGTTGTTATACTTTATTCATTTCCAGCTGATATTTGTTTTCTTTTTACCTAATAAAGTTTTCGTACATCCAACCTTTATAGGTTTAATGTGATCGTTCTATCATCATGGACAGAGCCGAAAGAATCCTTCAAAGAAAAGGCTGTAGTGTGACAACACATCCCAAAGACGAAAACTCATTTTATTATAGTCTTCATGCTGTATTAAATACAGAGAAAGGACAGCCTTCTGGCAAAAATGCAAAGCAAACGCGTGACGAGATATTCAAACTCGAGTTGGATAACGCAATGTATTTCCACCTATTTCACCCCCAGTGCGTCAGATGCAATGGAACAATTCACCCAAGAGATTGCCTATCAAGTGATCAGGAAAGGGTAATAAAGGAGAAGAAATACGCATCTCCTCGGGAAATTTATGCTGCAGCAGAATTACTACAGAAGGACATATGTCTTGTTCATTACAGAAGATCTGACAGTGAGGACATGCTCGGATTTCAGGGGTACATTTTCGCTCCATGTATCAGGCCATGTCTTGATTCAGAGCCGGTATATATTCTAATGATTGAAAATCAAGATGGATCGACAGAATATGGCAATCTTGATTTCAGAGATAATTGTAAAGATCTGAAATCTTGTCCATGGGATCTAGTGAATGAAGAGCACAAGAAATGTTTTGGCTTGCGATTCAGAAATAGTTTTCATTTGCTCTTTGAGAAAAATGTTAGGTATGGAATAAAAGATGATGTCAAGGATTTGTATCGCCGTTTAAGTTTAGAATTTTACGGTAAAGAAGATCACCATGACCGCATACTAAATATTATTTGTAACTTTGAACTGGAAGAGGAAAATCTGGATTTATTTTGCAAGTACGCAGATGATACCATCAATGAAGAAACGAGAGCCACTGAAAAGGAGAGGCTTTTGAAGATACACACAGAGAAAGCAAAAAATCGACAAAAACCTCCCAGTGATGGGGAACTTTATGCCATATCATCAGTATTCAACGTCGACATTGTTGTTGATAAGATGTGCAGAGGTGACTGGGAAACCTATATGTCGGTGGCATGTAGATATGCCTGTTGCTTTAGCTCTCCAATCCTTCTGCGCCAGCAGACGATCGGTGAATACATGCCGTATGTCACAGCATCAGAAGAATGCTCTTGTCGCCAGAAAAAGCCAGAAATACAAGGGCATATTGGGAAAATTAAAGATGACATCCACAAAGCAGTGTGTAAGTTATTTGTAAGCTCTTCATGTTATCTGAAACTTGAAAAATTAAGATTCAATTGAAAATTTCAAATAATTTCAAATTGAAAAAAGTTGATGACGTTGTTTACGTATGAGTTTTGATTTCGACCAGACTTTTGCAATGCCTCAAACAGATAATGAAATTTCCGGCTATTTATATAGATATGAATCCTGTTTAAACATTTTGTTTTCTTTTACGTCCCTTTCGAGAATTTTAAATCGTATTGAGACGCCATCCTGCGATGCGCGGGCAACTTTAGGTGGTTAATAATAAGGAGAGAAAATAATAATCTCCTACTCACCCCCTTAAATGTATGCTTTTTAAACAAATCAATAAATTATTAGTAAAAAAAACTACATGCAACACATCAAGTTGCTCATTTTTTTAAAAGCCAAAAATCATGCAAAGTCAGTAAAACAAAAAGTTAATCTTCTTCAATGTTCCGGGGAATAGGAGGGATTCACAACAGATATGAAGTCTTCATTATATGTTAGAGAGGCTTCTATATAATATTTTGTTTAGAATGGTTTGAGTTTTTGTATGATAATGTTATCATCGATATTGATTCACATATCCTGTAGTTCGTCCGAGAGGAGTGATGGAGAAGAGTGGAGAAGAGTGAGAGAGGGTGAAACTATTCCAAAACACTAACTACTGAACTAGGAATAAACTTAAAGAACCTAGTTATTTGAAATTTAAAATGAAAATCATAGGTGTACAATGGGCAATTGGTAGTTTTTCGTTCTTATTAGTGGAATTTATTGTTATCCGAGTACACATCATCCTTAAGTAACAAATGTGTGAAAATATCGCCCTTCATCTCTCTACTCACTCCTGTTAATTTTTTTTAAAGGGTAAAGATTTTCCAAAGATAATGTTGAATATTAACTACTAGTATTTCAGTGTTTCTTGCCATGAACACTTCTACAGAAATCGCCTATTAACTTAAAGTTGACATTTCCTTAAAGTAATTAAAAGTCCTTAATGCCAGTGAGAGTTATTTCTCTTATTCAAGTGTCAATAATATTTGATGATATTGCCTGTAGTGCGAACCCCATGCTGTCCACCAAGTAGGAAACACCAAAACCACACCCATTTAAAGCATGTACTGAACATCAGGACGATTTGGCCTCAGCGAACCGATTATCTCATCCCAACGAAGGATATAGAAATTGTAACAGCTCGACTTAATGCTGAAGAACGACGACTTGATCAAATAAATGGTGGAAATGGTACTTTAGTCAAAGCCCTGTCTAAAGAATTATATGGAGATGAAAGTCAATATTTTTCAAGGTTTGTAGTGTTGATCAAACCTATGTTGAATCTATGAAAAACTAATATTTGAGGAATGAAATTAAAGTATGATTTTTTTTTTTAAAGAAGATAAGAGTTGTAATCATTTTGTGAATCGCCGTTTTTTGAAATGCTTTATCGAATAGAATTTATATAGAAGTTCTAATTCACTATCGATGCAGTGACCTACAGGATGCCTTAGGAATCGGGACACTGGATTTCGATGAAAAGATGCGAAGAATTTCTGAATGGTTGACAGTTCCTGTATACATCTACCATTCAGAACTAACCCAGTTAAACTGCTCTCAGGGGCTCTACTGGACAAAATTCGAACCTGTTCGTTCGAGGTCAGACCAACTTGATGGGAATAAAGAATGCAGGTTTTATATCACCCTATTCTACAATAGACTCAATGGTTCTTTCGATAGGATAACACCCCTCAGAGGTTGTAATTGTGAAATTCCGCCACCTCTTTCCTTACTTCGAAACCAACAGAGTAAGTTTAAAACCTAAATTATGAAAAGATTGATTTTTATTGTTGCTGTATAATTTCATGGTGTTTTGTTTAATCATACATGCAATTGACTAAGCACTTTATAAATAATGAATTTTTGGAACTTACCTGTACATGTACATGCCGATTTCATGTTTTGTTGTTAACCTTGTCACAAATAAGACATTCAGTGGACTAGTATTATAAAAGGTGAGAGGAGTCTAAAGTTGATAAAGTGTAAGGAACAAAACTATACTATTAACTCCCTATTGCCACGGCTGCCCTTTTTAAAGTGTCTGCCCTCCTTACAAATCCAACCCGAGATCCGCGCAGTTTTTCTCTTAAGTGGAGGACCCATATTCCTAAATTAATTTCCAGTTGTTCGTATGGAAGGAGAAACTTGTATCCTTACAACATATCTGAATTTTTAAGAAGTGTGCGAGTTCTGCAGGCCAAAGTTAACCCATATAAAGCTTGCACTTTGTGTCTAAACTAAATATTTATGAGTTTTAAAAGGAAAAAAAAAGTACAGTAATGAATAAACATTTACTCTGATCGACTCAATCTTATGCCAATGATATTTTCTTAGAATTGTACAAGTACATATTTTTTTAATTGTCTTTATCAGAACCGGAATCTCAGCTTTTAATTTGCGTGGACCCAAAGCAACGTCACCATCCTTTGATCACTTTCCTTTCAAAGGATCCCGACGAAGAAATGTTCATGACAGAAATCAGAGATTTTCCAGTGTGCACGCCATACTCTTCACTGCGCGTAGCGATGCAAAGAAACGACATGAAAGGAAGAACGTTTGATTCCATTCAGTTTTTCGAACACTCTTTTCTTCGATGCTTGAGCAAAGAAATATTTGGAACAGAACAAAATGTTGATTTACTATTGAAAGAACTATGCGAGGAATTGTTACAAAACATTTCCTTGTACAAAAATGTCATTGGAGGAGAAATTGAACATGCTTACAAAGCTACATTTGGAAAAAACCCAAAGGATGAAAAAGACAATAAAAAACTTGCGCAATTCATGATTGAAAGAATCGAAGATGATCTTTCAACCGATGACCTATTGTTATGGGTTGCTTGTACGTTTTTCCAGACGGATATTTACGTCCTTCGGGTCAAGGACACAAAAACCTCAACAGAGAGCTCCTGGACTGAGTACTCAAAGCTGAGAACCCGGAAAAAGAATCCTAATAAAACCACACGTTTTAAAAGTAAATGTCCTAGGAATAAAACGCCCTATATCTCTATTATTGAGTCGGGAAGCAAACAATTTCACAGAATTGTTCCAAAAATGGCTTGTTGTAATTGCGTTTTAGATGTTCCAGTTGAACATTCAAATGAAGCTGACTTAATGCCATATCGCACACAACAAGGTAAATTTTATCGACAGTTGGAATGACATTTTTCAAGCATTTATCTTGTTTTCTAATTCATATATAAATATTATAGAAGAAATAATTTCTTTTTATTCCTTTTGCAGATTGCAACTTAATGCGAAGGATTAGGACAGTCGATACTCTTCTGGAGACAGCTTGTGTGACTGTAGAGCAGTGGCTTTTATGCAGTCAGATTCTACAGAGAAGATGTGACTTGGTGATAAATGAAATTGAAGGTCGTCGTAAAAATGTAAATATCGCCACAATATCTGGTTCTGGGGCAGGAATTGTCGGTGCAGTAATGACAGGTGTTGGAATAGCTCTGGCACCGGTAACCGGAGGAATTTCCACCCTACTGGCTGTAGGAGGAGGAGTTCTGGCGGTTTCCGGAGGAACAGTGGCCGCAGGAGCAAAAATTACTGAAACCTACTTGAACAGTGGTACAATAGACACACTGAAACGGTATCAAAACTGTTATCAGGAGAGATTTGAGCGCCTTCAAAACGTAATGGATGAACTGAAAAGGGAAGTAACTAAACTGGCAGAGGTATCAACTGAAATTAAAACAAATCAGAATATTGAGGCATCTGACTTCGCGGGAATTCAGAGTCTACCGGGTATTTTGAGAACCGTGAAGGGTCTGGCAATGATTCCCATAAGCCTGTTGAGGGTGTCAGCCAGAGGCATAATAATTCTTGGCGCAATAATCGGGCCGCTGACGGCGATGGTTGATGCAGGTCTATTGGCATTCTCGGCTTATAATATGGCGAAAGGAAACCGAACTGATCTGACGGAAAACCTTCGCCGAATATCAGCATCACTTCATGGAGCAAGAAGGCAGATGCATACCTGGGCGTACGGGAATGTTAGACCATTCTATTATGATTAGAAGATTCATAAAAGAAATTATCAAACTAGTGTTTTGATGAGCATGATAATTGAAAATTCAAATCTTGCTAAAGTGAAAGATAAACAATTGAAGATCAAGTATAAGTAAGTGTAATTAAAGAAAGTATGTAGATGGTGGTCGGAATTTTACCATCTTATATTTTATAAAACTTTACTCTTCATTTAATGTTTGTGAGCTCTAATTTAAATGTTTAACATTTTTTTCTTCCTTGATATGGAACTATGTTATTGTATGGTCAAATGAGGATAAGTGAACAATAATTTGATGATGGTTTTCTTGGGGTCCGATTTTTATGTTTGTGTGATTTTGATTTCTTTGATGAAGAACTGTTTGGTAGTTTTGTATGACAAAATTTCACATTTCGTAATGATCATGATTTCGTGGGCCACTTCACGCCTCGTAAAGCACGAAAATTAATATTAATCCCCAACGAAAATGATTAATTTCAGTAGTTCTTAAAAATATTAACTCACCCAAACTTATGCTGTCAATCTCTTTGTTAATAGAAGTGAGTGAAGGATATTCACAGATTTAAAGATATAGAATTTATTTAACGAGTAGGAAAAATATTCTGTTTTTCGCGAGTTCAAACTTTTAACATGGAACATGTTTTTATTAGGTCACCTGAGTAACTCAGGTGACCTATTGTTATCTGTTTTCGTCCGTTCGTGTGTCGTGCGCTGTGTGTCGTGTGTCGTGTGTTAACATTTGAACATTTTCAGCTTCTTCTCTAAAACCACTGAACCAATTTCAACCAAATTTGGTATAGAGCATCTATGGGTGAAGGGAAAAAAAAATTGTGAATTTCATGGTCCCCGTCCCCCTGGGGCCTGAGGGGTGGGGCCAAAACCACTAAAATTATTGCAATCTTTAAAAATCTTCTTCTTTACTCCTGGACATCAAGCAAGCAAACTGTTGTCATGAATGTAATGAGTATTGAGTCCTCTACCAGAATTGTGAAATTCATGGCCCCAGGGTCAGGGGTTCTAGTGCTAGGGCGGGGCTATATAGATTATATAGTGCAAATGCATTATTTCTTTGAAAATCTTCTTCTCTGCTACTGGGTATTAAATAAGCTAACTAAGAACACAGTAATGATGAGCAAGAGTGCCTCTTCCAGATTTGTGAATTTTATGGCCCCAGGGTCAGGGGTTCTGGTGTTAGGGCGGGGCTCTATAGATTATATAGTGAAAATGCATTTAATCTTTGAAAATCTTCTTCTCTGCTTCTGGGTATTAAATAAAGTAACTAAGCATATAGTTATGATGTGCAAGAGTGCCGTTTCCAAAATTTTGAATTTTATGGCCCCAGGGTCAGGGGTTCTGGTGTTAGGGTGGGGCTCTATTGATTATATAGTGAAAATGCATTAATTTTTGAGAATCTTCTTCTCTGCTTCTGGGTATTAAATAAACTAACTAAGTAGATAGAAATGGTGAGCAAGAGTGCCTCTTCCAGATTTGTGAATTTTATGGCTTCAGGGTCAGGGGTTCTGGTGTTAGGGTGGGGCTCTATTGATTATATAGTGAAAATGCATTAATTCTTTGAGAATCTTCTTCTCTGCTTCTGGGTATTAAATAAACTAACTAAGTAGATAGAAATGATGAGCAAGAGTGAATCTTCCAGATTGTGAATTTTATGGCCCCAGGGTCAGGGGTTTTGGTGTTAGGGTGGGGCTCTATTGATTATATAGTAAAAATATGATAATTCTTTGAAAATCTTCTCTGCTTCTGGGTATTAAATAAACTAACTAAGCACATAGTTATGATGAGCAAGAGTGCCTTTTCCAAAATTGTGAATTTTATGGCCCCAGGGTCAGGGGTCCTGGTGTTAGGGCAGGGCTCTATTGATTATGCAGTGAAAGTGCATTATTCTTTGAAAATCTTCTTCTCTGCTTCTGGGTATTAAATAAACTAAGTAAGTACATAGTTATGATGAGCAAGTGTGCATCTTCCAAAATTGCGAATTTTATTGCCCCCGGGTCAGGGGTTCTGGTGTTAGGGTGGGGCTCTATTGATTATATAGTAAAAATGCATTAAATCTTTGAAAATATTTTCTTTTGCTTCTGGGATTTATGCCAATGATCCAAGTATATATATTTATGGTGAAGAAAGGTGCATCTAGCAAAGTGTTTTTTTTTAAATGCCCCCTGGGTCAGAGGGGGGGGGGGAGGGGGGTGGTTACATAGTCTGAAAATAAATTTATGCTTTGAAATATGCACTTTGGTATTAATCAACCATTTTATGATAAAATTTGCAAAATTTTTCAATTTGTGGCCCATGGGTCAGTGGTTCCTTTGGGGTGAGGTGCACAACTGGGTATAAAGTGGAAGTGCATTTTCTCTTTGTTACTCTGATCTACCTCTGGGTATTAAGTAAATAGAGTAAGCATGCTAAGTTAATAATTATGATAAGCAATGGTGCCTCTTTCAAAATTGTGAATTGTGAATTTCATGGCCTCTGGTTTAAAACATGAACCAAATTTAATTGTTTGAAAGTTGTTACACAATACTCAGGTGACCTATAAGGCCCGTGGGCCTCTTGTTGAAATTTGTGATTTAATAATTTTAAGATTAAAACATAAAAGAGATAATTCAGGATTGATAGATGTTTGTTTTTCACCTAATGAAATTACTTTTATTTTCACTGTTATATGCTTGTTTAAGAATTTACTTTATTCAAATGTTTCACAATTGAAATGTAATACATTCCGTAGTAACCTTTTTTTCATTTTTTCCATCGATGTATACTTTATTGACTAAACAGTAAGAGGTTCTACAAAGTCAGTGTCACTATGATACAACTGTGACATCATAGGCGATATATTTTTGTCTCGCTTTATTTTTTTTATTAGCTCATCTGAGCTAAAAGCTCGAGTGAACTTTTCTGATCGCCCGTGTTCCGGAATTTGTCCATCTGTCTGCCCGTCTGTAAACTATTTACAGTTTCAACTTCTTCTTAATAACCACTGGGTAAATTTTAACAAAACTTGGCTTATAGCATCCCTTGATAAAGCGGATTTTAAGTTATCACGACGAACTAAACTCCCCTCAGGGGAGAGGGTAGATATCTGGAAAATAATAAAAATAGGATGAAATAATTTTCTGTTCAAGAACCCATGTGCAAGAGAATCTCATGTAGTGTATATTTTGAATTGTTGAAATCGTGGCCCCGGGGAAAAAGTTTCACAATAGGAAAACAAAGTTTTTTCATGAAAATATATGGAGATACATGTACCTTTATAAATCTTTGAAAATCTTCCCTAGAGCTACAGGATGAAATGCTTAAACTTATGTCAAAGATTTCGTAAGTGTTTTCGATTCTAAATTGGTCAAATCATGGCTTCCGGGGGGGGGGGGGACGTGACCACAATATGAAATCAAGATTTCGTAAATAAATGTATAGGAAAATCTTTTTAAAAATCTTCTTAAGAACCACTCGTTTGAAATGCTTAATTCTGTGGAAGCTTTCCAAGATATAAAGATTCTCAATTGGTCAAATTATGGTCCCCCGGGGAGGGTGGGGTTACAATAGGAAATTCAATTTTTACATCAAAATATATAAGAAGAATCACTAAATCAGACAATCTTAAAATATTTGTTGGAGCTTTTAAAGGAAGTGGGGTAAGGTAGGACCACAAAAATATATCAAAATTTTTACATTAAAATGTATTAGAAGAATATTTAGCTTCCTTTAAATTGCTCACATCATAGGTCCCAGGGATAGGATAATGTCACATAGGGATTATATTGAGATAATTTTTTAAAACTCCTCTTCAGAAGAACAACAAAGCCATGATGAATCAGTCGTAGCATCCTCTGGTAGTGTTCATTTATTTTTGTTTAAATCAAGGTTTTGAGTTAAGACTGAGACTACAAAAACCAGTTAACAAATTACATTAGGAAGGACCAAAATTACTCAGTGGAGCGTTGTGGGCCATGAACTTTTTTGTTTATATCTTAGTTTTCCAGTTGTTTGATTATATTTCCTAACAGCATCAAAAGTGTGACATTGTTTGATTTTAATGAACCATGTACATGTACTCTAGTCATAAAAGTTTTGAAATTTGTTTATTTATTATTACTATTTAAAACGTTCAATTATTTGAGAAAGTTTGGTTATTTTTAAGATATTAATTAGATTTATTGGACAATCCTAAATTAATTAAATCCATGAAGCTTTTTCTGTAGATGTAACCTGTTATATAACTGTTAATTACTAATTCATGTACTTTATTATATACTGTTTATTATGAGTTAAAATACGTGCAAAATTAATTCAAAAGGGCATTTTAACAACACATAGTTGGCCCTGTCATTGTTAAAAAAAAATTCTATAAAATCTGTTTGTACACTCTGAATAATATGCAGGATTTATTCGAGACAAACAGATCTACCCGAAGAGAAAAAGTCTATTGTTGTGACCTTCAAATCGACATTTAGATACCTGTATTTTGACTAGAGCTCGATTACTGTTTGTAATATTCATATTTCACATATGGGTACAGTAAAAACACGTTTGGTAATGTATGAATTTTCCTTTCTCTACAATCTTTCAAAGCCACAAAGGGTGTCTCGAGTTAGTTGGAAGAACATCCATTGCAAGCTGTGTAATTAAAACTGATGACATTTCAACATTTTTTATCTAGCTCTTGAAATCAATTGCTAAGGTGCTTTAATGTCCACAAAAAGATACCTAAACGATTGGTGACTACATTGCATCTGTAGCCATTGCTGAGAGTTTTCTGATGAGATTGTTTTGAAGCCAATCAAATCATTGGAAGATTGCTGAGAGATCATGTGAGACTCATCGTCGGATACCCACTGGTGATCTTGTCTTCTACTCGTTACCAATAGTCAAACACAACGAAATGTAAAATGTTGTAAGATATGGTAATTATTGATTTGAAGCAACCAATCAAAAAGTTGGAATTTCATCATTTTTCAAAATACATTTTTCAGCCATTATGTATCCTAAATAGCTAGTTATATTCTAATGTTTGTATATTCTTGTTATATTCACCTGCGTATGGATTTCCAAATTATTCGCTACTCAGGAGCCTGATCCGAGTACTATCAATTTTAAACCGAGACATGCTACTGACGGTAGTAAGGATTTCAGCAACCTTCTTAAAAGTCAGCAAGTCGCAAAGTCTATGGTCATTATGATGACCTTGTAGGCTTATATAATCATTGGGTCATATTTGGGCTTTAAACACGCCTGCTAATCGATCACTTGCACAACCAGCAGTTGTGTATAACAATCAAAAGAGATCGATTTCCGGTTGTGCAGTTGATGCGAATAATTCCAGTGCACGGGTAGTAAACGGACTCGATTCAGGCAATAATTGATATTTTTATTAAAATATAAGAATGTGATTCCAT